AAAAAGAGACAAATCTATTTAACTAAATAGGAAACATTTTCTTGCAGTTCAGCCAGCATGTACAGATACATTACCTTGGCGAGTTGGGCGAGTGACATCGAAGGAGATGAATCCGTCTGCAGGAGAATCAGAGTACAGATAATATAGGTGTTAACAGAACATCTAAGCTATACACAGCGGAAGATAAGAGCCCAGATAGTTCCCCACCACATCTGTGTCCAGTCCCTCACGCCATTTAAGTCTTCGCACCAAAATCAAGGCGTTTGTCGAGTAGTCAAAGTCCAGGAGATAACGCTTAAGTATATTAGAGTGAGCATTTTTAGAGTTGCTTGCATAAAAGAAATTGTTTGAAAATCTAATTTTAAAAATCCTTATCTACAAAACAATTATTTGAAATAACTGTGTTTTATATCCATTTAACACTTGTATTTATGCTGAAGACAAATCCAATAAAAATCATCTACAGCTGGTATAAAAAAGAACATTTTAGCATCAAGTATCGAAATTTACTGTAACTACAAAAATGTATGGAAATGCTAGAAAACTAACGTGCATAAAAATGAAGCTGCATCAACATTTAACAAGTAAATCAAACTTTCATTGCGCCTACGCTGCCATATATCCAAGTCTAGAGCTGCTTATTTTCTCAGCCTTTAACATCTTACCACAGTAATGTCAAAGAGCATCGAACCTGTCTATTTGGGCTTCATTAGCAATTCAAAGTTTACACTACCGTCACATCCCTGCACAGAGATTCTAAAACCTCCCCTGTTATGTCAGGAGAGGCTGAGGTTCTCAAAGGAATACTTGACAGTTTAATTTTAGCACACAGTTTCTTTTTGCCAGTAACTTAAGGTTTTTGCACTGGCTTGTCAAAAGAGGTTGTCATGACAGTTTGAAATTTTCATCAAAACCAGCTTAAGACTGCTTTCTGTAAAACTAATGAGCTGGCAAAGTGTGGTGCCGAGTTGTTTCAGTTAAAAAATGCCAACTCCAAGTTTCAAATATGTGGAGCTGTTGTTAAGATGTTAATTTAAAATGTCCCAGTTAAAGAAAAAACATGGACACATAAGAGCTGTCAAGTGTTCCTTCAATCTGTTCCCTGAAGCTGTTCCACCACTACAGAGAGAAAAGGGATGTCTTTCTAATGCAGGTCACGAGTCGATAAACAACAAGAATGAAGTCTCACACACAAACGACTAATATTTTTCACAAGACTGCTCTGGCAAGTTGTTATGAAATACTATCTGAAAGGAAGTTTTAAAAAGCAGACAAAGTGGGGTCATCCATCATGATTTGCACAGCTTGGAGGAAAGACTGGGTATTGCAGAATGCTGTGGAGGGAACACACAGGGATCTGGTGCAAGCGGTTCTGACACTGAACCGCTGAACAACTTTATTGACAGGTTCTGCAGCTTACAGCTTACAGGACACACTACACCAGTGTACTTCTCACTGCAGCAACCATGGAAGGCCTCCAAAGATTGACAAGATGTTTACTTTACCGATAAAGTGTCATAGTGCTTTGTGATCATGTCACAACATTATAGGTCAGTGGCCAATCAAAGCAGCTCACTTATTAAAAACTAGCTTCTTGCTGATGCCCCAAACAACAGTTGAAACAATACACTTTGAACTAATACCTGCTTTGATTCAAAATAAGACACTGAAGCATCTGAATTAAATTTAAGTATTAAGGATGTGTGAGTCTTTAAGGTTTAAGGGTTATGTGCAGTCCATACTCGAGAAAGAATAGAACATCTCCATGGTGAAATTGTACAGGACAAAACAATTGACATTGGCAAATGATACTGAACAACAGATCTGGGTATATTAGAGTTAAGCAGGTTAAACTTCAAAATAAAAATCAAGGGCGAGTCTGTTTCACTCACAACCTTAAAGTTAATTACAATCAATCCCAATCACACTTAAATCCACTGGGTTCTTAAACCACATAAATAAAAGATTATCACAGAAAATAAAAATGACAAGTCAATACAAAAATACCATGTTTTCCTTTTACAAACCCCTTAAAATACATTTGACTGGCCTGAAGCAGGCTACAAAACCATTTCAATATGAAATACAGTCATTAACAGTTTAAATTAATTATCACTCAATTATAAAGTGGCAACAGTTTAACATTTGGCATTTCAGAGCATTCAAAAACAATAATGGCTAGTCTGTTGTTTCTCTTATCATCCTCATCTCAATCAGCAAGAATTTAAAACTTTAATCAACTAGTTTCAAAACCCAAACCCATTTTCTAAAGAGAGAAACAACAAACTACTTTGGCTGTGGTGACTCCAGGAAACCCTCCCCAAAAACAGATCATAAGACACATAGAGGTTGAGATCTCAACACAAATGTAGCCAACACACGGTCAACAGAAGATACACAGAGCTCGATCATTGTTGACAGAATGTTTTTGAGAAAGGTGACTAAAGCCAGAAAGAGGGGGAGAGAGTGAGAGGTGATAGGAAGAGGAGGACAGAGTGTTGTTTTTGGGTTTGTTTTACATACGGGTCTAGATGATCCAACCACAGCTGTGTCAGAACGATCTCTGCAAAAACACACAGGACAAAAATAAACCATCAGTTACCAACATTGTGACTGAACACAGGACCAGCTTCACAAGTATAACTATAGGAAATCTAATAGAAACAAATCAGTGACTTAAAATCATCAGTGAGTTTGATGATTAATCGTAAAAAAAAACAGTAATAACTTAATACATACACAATGAACGTCCTGCCAGCAGGCTTTACTCCACCAATTGGAGTGCGGCGCACAATCACGGAGGAGTGTTTCGGGATGTGGGCTTCATCATCTGTATATTCTACAAAACACAAGCAACAAATCATCAGAAAACAGACAAACTTACAATGACACCACAATTCACTCAATAGAATACATCGATAGGCCTTTGTTACTAAACAGATGCAGAACGTAAATTGGTAGTTAGTTTACTCATAAAAAAAACAACTCTTACTCTTACTAAGTACCCAAAATACCATTCTAACCAATGTTATTTAATCTATAGATGTTAAAGCAGAGAAAATATATCACTTCAGATAATCCACATCATGTATGGGGACCATTGACATCCATTCACCGACTTGATGGTACAGTGTGTAGAATTTTATGGTATCATGTTGCAGCTGTTTTATCACCAAATCTCTTATTCTTTTTGCTTTTTTAAAGAGGAGAAAATTCCTGCCTATCATTCACGGTAACCCTCTAAAAATAATGCCTGGCAGATGTGTCACACATGAGTCAAGCGTCAGCTGACAACTTACCTTCACGAGTCTGCGCATTGGTGATCTGCAGGTCGCAGTCTGTGGCCTTGAGCCGCTCCCGGCCCATAATCTGCCTCTTAAGTTCATTGAGGGTGATATGCAGCCCATCGAACGTGACTGTGTTGTAGTCCAGTTTGGAAGAAAACTTATAGTGAACACACGACATTTTCACAGGTCAATTAAGCACAGAGGGGGGGGGGGGAACAAAAAAAACCCACAGGCCTGGTATGAAAACAAAATAAAAACAGCGTCAACACTGAACACAGGAGGTTAAATCAGGTGACTTCAATGGGTAAACCCTCTTTAAACTGGCTGGAACACTGTGGACAAAGACAGGAATCATATGAGGAAAGGTTCAGCTCGCAGACTGCGACAGAGTCCTTCTCACTGCCAAAGAAAAATGGTGGAGGTGCGAGGCCAGAGCGCCATTAAACGGCGCCGTGTGCCTCGCCAGTTCTTTCAAGTCCGTTAAAACGCAACAGGGTGCCACCAAATCCAAGAAGGTCCATGTAGCACAGGGTTAAGATTATTATTTTCTCACGGGGATTTAAATGGGGCCAAGTCCGTCGTGAATTGTCCTTGAGTGGGAACCCAGTGAAGCTAACAGCGGGCCTCACAGCCTCGACATCAGTCCTGGGAGAGGGGGGGGGGGTAATGTTGTGCTGCGTGTGGAGCAGTTTCTTATTTCTCAAAACAAACACTACCGAGAAAACATTGAGCAAATAGTCCGCAAAGAGTCCACAGTCTAGTTATCCCGCAGTTCGACCTCAAAGAGCATGTGTCCGAAACCGTTATCTACCGTGCAAATCAGAATGGCGAGTTAGCTAATGCCCAGGCTAACATGCTACACCTCGAGATTAGCTAACGCTCCCTCGGCGCTAACAATGGTGGCTAGTGCTCAACACTGCTATGCTAACCACGCAACCCCGGGTTAGCCGTCGAGTGCAAAACCCAGCAGTGGCGCAGTGGACACACGGAGGCTCCTCTTCTGTCCGCGGTCCTCGTTCGCTGAGAAAAGCCTGAAGTCACGTATCCGGTAATTCTTCGAGTTAAATCCATAAAATCCTCCTCGGTGCTCCGGGCTGCTCGTCTCCTCGCTGTTTCATCAAAATGGCGCTGGACGGAACCGGAAGTGTGTAAGGAACCAAAACAGGGCCGATATAAAAATAAATAAATAAATAAAAACATGCAGAGGAGTAAAACTTGTAAATTTCAGTTTTGATCTTGAATTCTGAGAAATACAAACTGTGTGTTCGAACTAAAATTAAGTGGGTTTTTAATTTAAATTATTGATATGACCAAAGTTCAGTGTGAAAGATTTAGATGAAAGGGATCTATTGGCAAAACATTTAATATAAAATGACTCTAGCGTTTCTTTCTACTAATGTGTTTCATTTAAACTGTACAAAATTGTTTGTGTTTTCTTTACATTTATATTAAATACTTTATATTTACATTGGGAGCAGGTCCTCTCTACGGAGGCTGCCATGTTTTTTACAGTAGCCCAGACTGGACAAACTAAATACTGTTTGAGTATTCGTGACAACTGAATGCTACCACAGGTTCTCCTTCATGTTTGGAAGAGGAGGGTGAGGTGAGGGGTGTTCAGCTGCAACATGTCACTTCACTAAATGTCACTGAATTCTACACTATTCTAAAAGTAGTTCTCATTCTTTGTAAATTTGGTTCTTTTGTTAGCATTATGGTAAGTTTAGGCTCACAAGGTACATAACCCTAACCATCTTGTTGTGACAGTGACTGTGTAGATTTGACTCTTTGGTTGTTTGAAGGTATCATGTTGCAATTTATCAGGTTTTTTATTTATCTATAGTTTGGACTAACGGTTCCAGACGGTTTTCATCGGTAGCTACAAACCTCTGAACATCAGCCACATAAGGACACATGCCTCATATCCTATTTCTATTCACTGATTGTTTGTAATCAGACGTCTTTTTCATATTTGAATAGGGTAGCGTGGCCGAGCGGTCTAAGGCGCTGGATTAAGGCTCCAGTCTCTTCGGAGGCGTGGGTTCAAATCCCACCGCTGCCAGAGTTTTGAGATGAGATCTTAAGTCATTTAACTTCAAATACTGTTATAGAGTGAAGAGGTGAAGATGTTCATATTCAAGGCACAGAGATCTGCCTGATGCCAGGTTGCAAATCCTATGCCAACAGGTGCAGGTGGGTATTACAGAGTTTTGAGGGTGCAGGATTACTTACATGGACTCTGCATGGAGGGATCATATGACAAGGAGTTGTTTGGAAGTAGCGTAATGGGTTAAGTCAAAATTCAGTCATTTGGATCAATTGACATTTCAAATGTGTCATATGTACACTGGTTGAAATGTGCCCAGCATAGCAAACATGTCTCATAATGTCTGTTCAATATTACAGTAAATTGGATTAACACTCCACATAGACCGGATGTATGTGAATACATTTATTAGATGATATGGGGTAGCATGGCTGAGTGGTCCAAGGGGCTGGATCAAGGCTCCGATCTCTCTTGGCAAATCCAAAGTACATAACTATTCTATAAATATAACTCATAGCCTTTATATATATTCACAGATTGTTTTTAAACGGAAGTAATTTATAATTGACATAAGGTAGCGTGGCCGAGCGGTCCAAGGCGCTGGATTAAGGCTCCAGTCTCTTCGGAGGCGTGGGTTCGAATCCCACCGCTGCCATGGTTTTACCTTGAGGGGGTCTGATACAAGACCAGAGTCCTTCAGTTTGAGATACTGTCTCATGATTATCAATGTGATTGAAGAAAGTGCTGAGAATACACAAAGTACACAGCTACTTACAATAAATACTATAAGGCCATGGTCTGAGCCGTGTACAACCTGTCAGCTTGTGTGACCCCGTACAGTGATGTAAAGTTGAAAAGTGTAAATCAACCACATGTGCAGCCGTTGTTTGTTCCTCTTAGATAAAACTTATTGTCCGTTGAGTCAACAAACCTCTGGACATCAGCCACATACCAACACATTCTGACTTAGCAAATGCCAAGTAGACATTACTATTTGATAGATATAGATATAGTCATAGCCGCTATATATATATTCACTGATTGTTTGTAAACAGATGCCTTATGATTTGTGATACAGGCTAGCGTGGCCGAGCGGTCCAAGGCGCTGGATTAAGGCTCCAGTCTCTTCGGAGGCGTGGGTTCGAATCCCACCGCTGCCAGAGTTTTACCATGAAGAGTTCTGTGATAAGACCAAAGGTTAAAGTCTCTCTGCTTTAAATCATGTGATCCATTATGTAAACACCCTGCCAACAATAAACATTGTAAATGTACCTGATCACAGAGTTTGAACATCTTGTACACTGCTTTTAGGCTCCTGTCTTTTCGGACCCGTGAGTTTGAAGCCCTCCCCTTCCTTTTTTTTGAGAACGGGAGAAAATGTGATGTCCCTGACTGTCACTGTGCTGTGATTGTTGGTACAACACAGGCTGCATTAAGTGTTTCTGAATAAAACAGCTGATCTCCCGGGATTTTTACAACCAACAGTCTCTGGAGTTTTAATTCAGAATGGAACGAAACAAAATACCAATTGAGCCGTAGTTCTGTTGATGGGGGTGTTAGGCCAGACGTGATGACAGGACAGCTGTGGTGACTCAGATAACCAGACTTTACTCCTCTGAGGAGCAGCAAAGCATCATAGACCCGTCAAACCATGAGGAAGTTGGGCTACAACAGCAAAAGACTACACCGGGTTCCACTCCTTTCAAAAGACTAGAAAGCGTATCCTCATCGAATGAATCATGATTTCTCCCGGGGGAATAATAGTTCAGAATGTGGTGTCATCAGTCCCGGGTGGCGTTGATGGTGTGGGGAATATTTTTTTCTGGCATCTTGATATCAACCAATCATCCTTTGAATACCACAGTTGGAGTTTTGTTGCTGATTGTTCATCCCCTCAGTTTATCAGCTTCATACTTGGCTTGTGTGTTGTTACGGGTCCAGGGAAATGATGTGTCGTATTTTGTGCAGTTTGGACACATGAATAAACATCTCACTCATCAATGACTTTGTTCTGCAACACCTGAACTTTGAACAAACAGGTGAACAGATCTTTGTGCAGCCGTGGGGGAGCAGCTTCAGGATTCTGTGCATCGAATCCAGCAGCTGGTCTTTATTTGCTGTGGCTCGGTTCCTGCAGGTCACTTTTACCGTTTCATGGAGAAAAGCTGCAATAAGCTTCACCACAGACCAAACAAACAGCCCATTATAAACAGGCAGCTTTAGAACAGGCAGTGCACCCATCATGACGATGCACCATGACCCCCCCTGTCACTAGATCAGAATCCAACAGACAATGTTCGTCTGAATAATGCTGCTGCCATGGCAACACATCAGGTTTCTCAGTCCGCCTGCTGTTCTGCTGCCATCGTCACTAATACAGCTTGCTCATGCATGTTCACACACACTAAGGCAGTTCAGGGGAGTCCATTATTTTTTGATAAAGTGTTTGTGCCTCTGTTTATATGTTTGTACTTGGTTCACACATTTTATCGTGTGCCCACCTCAATAGCTGCAAGTTCCCTCCTCACACAGACACCAGAGAGGAGCCCTCTGCGACACAACAGAAAAACAACACAACACCTCGAACCTGTGTCTCCGTCTTAAGCACATTGTGAGAGATTCTGTTGATTATTCAGCTTTATTTGATGTAAACAGAGACTTGATGGCACAACCACAGGGGAACAACCTTCTGCAGGCAAAGATGCTCACGAAAAAACACACAGACACGCAAACAGGCACAGTGAGAGACAGATAGAGAGAGTTTTAATGCTTTTAATGGGGGTTCGATTTTGTGCCTGGGTCCACAAAAGCAGGACAGGAACAGGACAGTTACGTCACTCCCATGTGCGTATGTTTATTTTCGGTGTATTCTTATTTTTGTGGTTGCTGCTCCTCCCTGTCTCTCTCTGTGTGATCGTGTCTCACACACACAGATTTATTTTACAATGCACATTCATTCACACACACTACAGATGTAGAAACAAAGGTTTGTCAAAACTTCATGTTTTCTCCATCTCTTTTTCTCTGAGCACGTCAACAGTAAATGAGCCGAAACTATCAGTTAACTGACGACTAAAAATCAGCAACTACTTTGATGATTGACTCGTTTTGTTTGTTGGTTTGTTTTTCAGGTTTACACAAAAACTACTTAACGGATTTCTACAAAACTTGGTGATAGGATGCAGAATGGGTCAGTGAATCCATTCATTTTGGGGCAGATCCAGGATTATTTTCCCACTGTCTTTAACATTGTTAGATAGGATGGTTTTTTTTTGTAATTTTCATGGATCTTGATGAAAGTACCAGGCACATTGAGGGGACTGATATCTTTGAGTGTGTGAAATTTGGTGAGGCTTGCTGCTGCTGTTGGGCCTTGGCTAAGGTTTGTGCTTTACTGAGTCCCATTCTAGTTTAATAATCATTCTCTAACTCCAGCATTCCAATCACAAGAATTAGCTGAATTATTTATTTTATAAAATTGTAAAAACGGACTCTCCTTGGAGTTTTGCCCTGTTGACAGACGTCACGTTGAGCTCTGGTAAATCGTTTCAACAGTTCTTTGACATTTTGTAGACCAAACAATCAATCAAAAAACAATATAAACAGATTAGTCGAAGCACACTTTGATATCCAAAGTCTTTCTTCTTGCCTAACCTAAGAAGTGAGGACTTCTCCTCTCATTTAAGTTCCTCTTGTGTTTCATCACTGTACATCTCGCTCCTGCAGTTAAAGTCTGCTCACACAGGCGTGGTCCTTCTGTTGGCAGCACAGTTTCCAGGCAGCATCTCTGTGTTGTTGTGAGCAGCTGCATTGTTCAAATCCTCCACAGCCATGTCGACCTTTCCGTCTTTGAGCGACGAGGTAAGCGTGTAGAGCAGGAATTCTGAGTCCATCGTCACTGGTGTTGCCAACCCTGTCATGCCGGCAACTTTGGATTCAGCGGAGAGGGACGGCTCTCGCTCTTGCATCATGGAAGCTCTGAAGGACTGCGTGGTCGAGTCCGCTGCACTGTGGTTGCTCCTGTAGCTATATCGGCGGGAGCGGTTCTGGTAGAATCGGTTGCGGTAGTAGGATGAGCTGCGGGAG